GAGGATTCGGCCCCCAGCGCCATCTACGCCACCATCTCCCCGTCCCCGCACGGCTCCCGCCGGCCCGCCGAGGCCCCGCTCTCCCTGCTCAGCCAGCACCCCATCGGGCCCTTCCCCAGGGTCCAGTCCCCCACCAGGCCGTCCCCAGAGGGCCCTCAGAGCCCCCCGGCCCCGTCCCCGCCTCCGCCGCCCCCGCACCCCGCGCCCCCGCCCCCGGACAAGGGCAGCCCCCAGGCCGCGGCCAACCAGCACTTCATCATGGTGGAGGTGCACCAGCCCAACAGCGAGCCCGACGTCAACGAAGTGAGGCCCCTGCCCCAGGCCAGAGGTGGGTGCCACCCCAGCAGCTGGGGAAATCCATCCCTGGGGCGGTGGGAGAGATAAACGGGGCAGGATACACACGGCAAGGCTTCAGGTCTCGTGATGGATCTCGTGATCCAAAAAGGTTGGAGCATCTCTCCTGTGGAGGGTGAGGGCGCTGGGGGTGCTCACCTGGAGGGGAGATGCTCCAGGGAGAGCTCAGAGCCCCTGCCAGGGCCTGAAGGGGCTCCAGGAGAGCTGGAGAGGGACTGGGGACAAGGCATGGAGGGACAGGACACAGGGAATGGCTCCCACTGCCAGAGGGCAGGGATGGATGGGATATTGAGAATTAGGAATTGTTCCCTGGGAGGGTGGGCAGGCCCTGGCACAGGGTGCCCAGAGCAGCTGTGGCTGCCCCTGGATCCCTGGCAGTGCCCAAGGCCAGGCTGGACAGGGCTTGGGCTGGTGGAAGGTGTCCCTGCCCATGGCAGGGGTGGGATGGGATGAGCTTTAAGATCCCTTCCAACCCAGGCCATTCTGTGACCTCAGGGACCAGAAATAATTCTGGTCTTTTCCCATTAACTGTGCATTTTGAGGGGAGAAAAAAAATCTAGTTGTGCTGACACGCGGCTCAGGAATTATGTTTATCCCAGGAAAAAGCGGAGGTGAGGGAACAGTGTGCAGATCCCCATGGGTCCCTCGGAGATGGAGAGGGAGGAGGGGTCCCAGGGGGTCCCGGGAGCTCTCAGAGATAGGAAAGGGGGATCCAGGGAGGTTCTTGGAGATGCAGAGGGAAGGGGGATCCAGGGGGTTCCTGGAGGAGGAGAGGGAAGGGGAATCCAGAGGATCTCTCGTTCATGGAGAGGGAAGGGGACCCAGGGCAGTCCCGGAGCTCTCCCGGCCCCCCCGCGCTGCGACACGAGTGGCAATGTCGCCCTCGTGTGGCACAGCGCCGTCACTGCAGCCGGCCCGCTGCCCGCAGGGCGATGCAGGTGCATTAAATGCAGCTCCGCGGGTGCATTAAATGCAGCGCCGCGGGTGCATTAATGCAGCGCCGCCGCTGCTCCTGACATTTCCAGCCTCCATCTGCACTTGGTCTTCATCCTGGAAGGGCAGAAAGCTCCTCCATGGCAGCACCTCTTCACCTGGCTTGGTCCCTGTCTCCTCCCAGACCCTGTTGTGGAGCATGGGCTGCATAAACGTGACTCCAGCAGGGTCCCTGAATTCATCACTCTCTCCTTCCATCCATGTTTGGGATCTGGGTTGGATTCCAGACCAGGGTTTGAGGCCACTTGTCTCTGGATGCTGCCTGTGCACAGCTCTGCTCTTCTGCAGTGAGGTTGGGGTCAATCTCTTCTCCCAGGAAACAGGGATAGGACAAGAGGAGATGGCCTCAAGCTGTGCCAGCGGAGCTTCACGTTGGATAATGGGAAAATCCCTGCACTGAAAGAGTGGTCAGGCACTGGGAGAGGCTGCCCAGGGCAGTGGTGGAGATCCTATCCCTGAAAGAATGTAAAAGCCGTGTAGATGTGGCACTTGGGGACATGGCTTTGCAGTGGCCTTGGCAGTGCTGCTCTTGTGGTTGGCCTCGATGATCTGAGAGGGCTTTTGCCTCCTGAGCAATCCCATGGTTCTGCAGGGCTGTGCTTGGGAACGTTGCTCTGCAGCCCCGGTGTGAATCCCAGGGAGGCTGCCCAGCCCTGGGAGCGGCAGCTGCCCTCGCCCCGTGGCCGTGGGCGCTCGGCCAGCCCCGGCCCCGGCGCTGCCCGCCCGCTAACGCCGCGTCTCTCCCCAGCCTCCACGCTCTCCCAGCTGTCGGACAGCGGGCAGACCCTCAGCGAGGACAGCGGGGTGGACATCGGGGAGGTCGAGACGAGCGGCAAGGACAGGAGCCGGCAGCCGGGCCCCGGGAAAAGCCGCAGCCCCAAGGAGGCCACGAGGAGCGAGGGGGCGGCAGAAGGGGCCTCCAAGCCGGTGAGGGGGGTCTGGGGTGCTGCTCTCTGTGGGAGGGGGCACCCAGGGCTGTGCCCCTCTGCCTTGGCCAGCCTGTTCCACTCCCTCTGCCCACAGGCAGCAGCCACTCATCCGTGCTTGGCTGGGGTATTTCTCCTCTCTGCTGCAGACAGTCAGTTCTCTGGGGGGCTGAGCTGGGGGGAAGGGGGTCAGGAGTGGCTGAGAGGGGCACTGTAGGGCTGATTCACTCCATCCTGGGTAAATCCCATCCCTCCCAGCTCCAGCCAGCAGCTGCCTGGGGCATGGGAGAGTTCCTGGCTCTAAAGGGACATCCACAAGCCGCATGAGTGAAGTCACCTGTCAGCCAAAGGGAAGGTGGCAGTGGGTATCAGACATAACTCAGAGGGTTTATGGTGGTGGTGAGGATGAGGGACACAGGCAGGCAGGCAGAGAGCTGGTCTGCTCCTTCCCAAACCCTTCCCAGAGTTTCCCTTCCAGCTCTGCCCAGAGTTGGGATTTTGGATCAGGAGTCAGAAAGCAACTGCAGGGCTGTGTCTGTCCCTCTTTGGTGGCAAGCCAGCATGTCCCTGCCTGCTGTGGGGCCCTGGCCGAGGGAGCACGGCTGGCACACGGCGCCCAGGCCCCCTCAGCAGTGCTGCCATCTGTCCCCACAGCCAGGGCTCCTGGAGCCCACATCGTGTCTGATCCGGGTGTCCAAGAGCGCTCCCACCCTGGGCATCGCCATCGAGGGCGGCGCCAACACGCGGCAGCCGCTGCCCCGCATCGTCACCATCCAGGTAGGGCAGCTGGGACGGGACAGCTCTGTGCACATCCCAGCCCTTCCCAGCCCTCTCCTCCCTGAGCAGGCTGGGCAAAGCCCTGGAGCTGTGAACAGGGGGATTTTGGGGGGTTGTCCCCCCCTGCAGCCCTGAACCTCCACAGGCACCGTTCTGCCACGCTGAGGACGGCGTCTGTGTCCCGTGGATGATCCCATCCCAGAACACACCTCCTGGGAGCCAGCTGTGTGCTCCAGACATCTCCGAGGGGATCAGGGCAGCCCTGACAGCTTGGCTGCTGTCTCCAGATGTCTGGAGACTGCCAGACGGGGGATTGAGGAGGGGGAATGGTGGATGGGAGCCAGGGGATTGAGCCCTCTGGAGCTGTCTCCCTATTTGCTGTTTACTTGGGGCAAAATTCAAGTTATTTACAGCAAAAAAAAGCAGACCCGACTCTGCCTTGGTTATTCTTGGCCATCCCAGCTGGCGTCACGCTCCAGGAGCAAGCAGGGGGGAAGCCAAATTCATCCCCTCCCTCCAAAAAGTGAAATATTTCACATCCATCACGTCGGATATGAAATATCTCCCAGTTTTTTCCCCCCTGCTTGCTGCAGGGAGTGGTGGGAACATGAGCTGACCCCCCTCTCTCCCCTGCAGCGGGGGGGCTCGGCACACAACTGCGGGAAGCTGAAGGTGGGACACGTCATTTTGGAGGTGAACGGCACGGGACTGCGAGGAAAGGAGCACCGGGAGGCCGCCCGCATCATCGCCGAGGCCTTTAAGCTGAAGGAAAAGGACTACATCGATTTCTTGGTCACAGAGTTCAACGTCGCCCTTTAGGGGAGGGCTTTGGGCAGCGCTGCTTTGTCGGGGAGCGCTGGGATGGGGATGGAGGATGGCGCCGAGGTGGGACAGCAGCGTCCCAGCGCGCACGGCCCCGCACGCGCACGCACCCCCAGCTTGTCCCCAAATGTCCCCGCGCCCGCTGCAGGCTTGCTGCCTGGCCAGGGCAGGCTGAGAACGGGCACAGCCCTTCCAGTTTCCATCCCCGTCCTCTCTGGGGTAGGGAATGTCCTCTCCCCCTCGGCCAGGCTGCGAGCGGGGCAGGAGGGTGGCACGGTCTGGGTGTCCCTGCTGTCATTTGAGTGCCACACACAGAGCCAGGTGGGCCCGTGGCTCAGGCTGGAGGGAGTTTCGGGCGGTTGCTGCTCCTTTGGGTGGTCCCCAAGGTGCCCAGGTGGGTGGTACCAGCCATGGGTGGGGATGCAGAGAGAGGAACCGGAGGCCTTGTAAATCGCTGGCAATGTCGTTGTATTTATATATACAGAGCTTGTGCTTTTAATTTTTCAATAAATCTATCAGGGTAGAAAAAAGGCTGCACTTGGGGGCATTTCGGGGCTGGGATGAGGGGGTAGGAAGGGGCAGGGGTGCCAGGATATTTTTCTTAATGTCCTGGGAGCTTCCCAGGGCTGGTAGGGTGGGTGGGAGTGCAGTGGTGGTCATGTTGAGGAGATGCCCTGTGCCAGCCCCATGACATCCTTGACCCATCCAGTCTTTATTCCCATCTATCCCATGGCCAGTCCTATCCCCATTTCATTCTTTCCCATCGCAATCGCTCCTCATTCCGACCCCATCCCTTCCCCGTTCTCATCTCAATCCCTGCCGAGGATCTTTGGGATCAGCCATCCCATAGATTGCATCCCATGGATCCCTTCCCTTCCCTTCCCTTCCCTTCCCTTCCCTTCCCTTCCCCATTGATCCCATCCCATCCCGGGAATGGGCAGTGCCCCGCCAGGGGGTGCCCGCGCTGCATAAATTATGCCAATGAGATTCCCTCACCCGCGGCTCTGATTGGCCGCCAGCCGCGGGATATGCAAATAAAAGATGGGCGGGGTTTATGCTGACGACGTCCTGCTCCGAGCGCGGATTGGCGGAGTGCGGCGGGTATGCTAATGAGGGGAGGCCACGCCCCCTGGCGCCGCGGGCCGCGCTTTTGTCCGGCGGGGCCGGGCCGAGCTGGATCGGGACCGGGACCGGGACCGGGACAAGGACCGGGATCGGGATCGGGATCAGAACGGGGATCGGGACCGGGACCGGAGCCGCCCAGCGCCAGCCGGGCCCTCCCTACAGGTGGGCAGCGCGGCGCTCGCGGGGTGAGGGAGCCGCTCCAGCGGTGCCCGCGGGCCAGATGTGCCCCAGCTGTGCCCGAGGGGGCCGGGAAGGGCTGCGCTGCTCCCTGCAGCCGCCCGCTGCAGCTGGAGGGAAGGACAGGGGCCCCGGGGCGCCGCCGGAGCCACAGCTGGAGGCGCAGCTGGAGGCGCAGCCCGCGGGCCCCATCCCGGGGCCGCATCCAGAGCTGCCGGCTCTGCTGAGCCCGGCCCGGGCAGGGCTGGCTCGCAGCCGGGAGCTGCCGGGGTCCCTGGGCGGAGCGGGGGCACCCCCAGCCCCGGCGGGGTCCCTGCGGCCGAGGATGCGGGACACGAGGGGATGCGGGACACGGCGGGGGATGCGGGACACGGCGGGGGATGCGGGACACGGCCGAGGATGCGGGACACGGGGGGATGCGGGACACGCCGCTCCCGGCCGAGGCGTGTCCTCCCCACGCCATCGCAGCCTTCGTGGCCCCGAGGAAACTTGTCAGAACTTTTCTTCTGGCGGTGCCTCCTCCCCGCCGGGGCCGGAGGATTCCGGGAGGGTTTCGTCAGGGGCCGCGGAGGCGGCTCGGAGGCACGGCCGGGGCTCGGAGGCACGGCCGGGCTCGGAGGCACGGCCGGGGCCGGGAGCTGCCGGCGGCTCCTCCGAGGAAGTTGCCGGGGCACCGTTCAGCTTCAGTTCCGTGTTTTATTTAAAGGGCAGCCGTGTTCATGGCAGCCGCTGGTGCCCGCGGGTGTCGCGGGTTGTCCCGTGCTCCGGCGCAGCCTCTCGGTGCCTTCCGGGCAGGGCTTAAATCGCTTCTTAAAGTTCAATGGCAGGCGGGGAGCGCGGCAGGGCGGGCACTGCCCCTACGGGCTGGGAGAGATGGGGATGAAAAAGCTCCAGGGAGAGCTCAGAGCCGCTCCCAGTGCCTGAAGGAGCTCCAGGAGAGCTGGAGAGGGACTTTGGACAAGGGATGGAGGGACAGGACACAGGGAATGGCTTCAAACTGACAAAGAGCAGGATTGGATGGGGTATGGGGGGAAATTCTTCGCTGTGGGGGGTTGAGGCCGTGGCACGGGGAAGCTGTGGCTGGTTCACCCCAGCACAATCCCCTGGCCGTGTCCCCGCCGCCTCTGTGCCCTGTGCTAAGAAGGGATCTCGGTGGCACCGGCTGCGGCGCGGGGACAGCGGCAGCGCCCTCCAGACGGGGATTAAGGCTGTCTGTCTGTCCTTCCGGGCATTGCGGCCATCCGCCCCCGGCCCTGCGCCCGGGGTGTCCCCAGCGAGGACAGGAGGTGCCAGGGAGGAGGGAGGAAAGAGTTCTCTGTCATGTCGTGGTGCTTTGCTTCGGTGCAAGTGCTGGAAAAAATGACATTTCCGTGGTGTTTTGGTGCCTCTCCGTTGGGATGTGCCGGGATGGGGGGCTGGAGGGGGACATGGCCCCTCCAGCTGCCAGAATTGGGGTGACTCGTGGGCTTTGCAGTGATGCTGACAGGCGTGTGCTTTCAGGGGATGAGGGAGATTTGTCAGGCTCTTCCTCGCTGTGATGGTCCCTCCCTTGTTCTAGTAGAAAATAATGCAAACTAAGAACGCAGCGTTTCCGCTTCTCTGCCCTCTTTCATGCCTATGAAAACGGGGCTCTGTGGGCTTTAAAAAAGGGTTTATACACCAGGAATGTCTCCCTCCTGGAGCGCAGACATCCCTTGCCAAGTTTCAGCCCGAGGCCGTTCTGGCCTCCTTCAAACCTCTCTAAAAGAGATGCAAAACATCCATCCCTTGCCTGGGATGGGGTTAAGCCCCCCTGCATCCCGGATGGGCAGGGATGTGCAGGAGGGGCTTTAACCCATCCCGGGCAAGGGATTTGGGGACAGGAGGGTAATTCCACATCACTCAGAGGGTAATACAGGGCAGGAGGGTAATTCCACATCACTCAGAGAATGCGGGGATGGAGGTGTGGGGTGTAGAGCCCCCCCATCCCCCCTGCTCTGCCCGGGGTTGACAAGGCAGTGAAGGCAGAGTGACAGCAGCCCTGTCCCCCCCTTCCCTGTCACCGAGCGAGCCCTGGGGCGGAGGATGCTCCTGTCTCCTCTGCTGTCACCACGGATAAACCCGGGAGCCACGACGGCTTCGTGCTGGCCTTGGTGGCTGCTGCTCCACTGCCACACGGGATGAGCTGGGCGGGATCAGCCTCGCACCTCGTCTTTGCTGCGGGCATTGGGGCAGGGATGGGATCAGGGATGGGATCGGGGCAGGGAGGGGAACAGGGATGGGATCGGGGCAGGGATGGGATCAGAGCAGTGAGTGGGACAGGGATGGGGGATGGAGGGACAGGGGATTGGGGCAGGGATGGGATTGGGGCAGGGGTGGGATTGGGGAAGGGATGGGATTGGGGCAGGGAGTGGGGCAGGAATGGGATCGGAACAGGGATGGGATTGAGGCAAGGATGGATCGGGGCAGGGAGTGGGACAGGGATGGGATCAGGGCAGGGATGGGATCGGGGAAGGGATGGGATTGGGGAAGGGATGGGATCAGGACAGGGATGGGATCGGGGAAGGGATGGGATCGGGGCAGGGATGGGATCACTGCCTGCAGAAAGGATCGGGGCTTTGGAGGGACAGACAGACACCTGGCAGCACCCAGCACTGCTGGCAGCATCCCTCCCTTGGCTGGGCCCCTCTGCCCTGAGCCACAATTTGGGACAGCCCTGGCTGGGATTTGTAGGGCGGGAGAGGGGTGGAGGGGCTGGGGCAGAGCACAGTTCAGGGTTTTCTAGCTGAGGCTTTTAAATTTCTTTTCAGCTTTTTTTCCCAGTTGCATGTTGCAAAAATCCTGGCTTTCCAAGAGGAAAATTAAAATATATGGATATATTTCTGCACACACATTTGGGATTGTTTGTGTTTGATTTGTGGCTGCTGAGCATGAAGCCACATCATTTTTCAAGCTTTTCTGTGCTCCCATAAGAGTGAGAAAATCACTTAGAGGGGGGAAAAGAATCTGAGATTTTTTTGCTCTTGCCACCATGACCATCAGCAGAGGGATTTTCTGGGAAAGCAATAACTGTGGCTGGGTTTGGAAGTGGCTCATGCAGAGTGCAGCTGCTGTGGGCTGTGCATGGGGGAACCACTGCTCAGAAATGGGGTGACAGCGTGTGGGTTAGCCATGGCCTCCTTCAAGACATGCACAAGCCCCATCCCCTGCCTGGGATGGGGTTAAAGGAATGCCAGAAATGGGTTGGGAATGTTTTAACCCCCTTCTTCCCAAGAGAACAGCCCCCCCAGGTGATGGGGGTTTTTTTGAGTTAGGTCTTAACGAGCTCTTAGAGAACTAATTACACTTGAGATAGCTTAGTTGCTTTTAATGGTATAAAATGAGTAGAATGGTTTTTGAGGTAGTGTTGGAAACAGAAACAGGTTTAATAAAAGGCAAAATAATAAAGCTCTTATAGAGAAAAGCTGAGTTAGGGGTAAGAGGTTTTTATTTTTGTTAAAACACCCCACAAAAGCGATTATTTCCTTTGTTCTCTTCTTTTTTTTAATTGGATTGTTTAGGTGGGACTTTTTGGCCTTTGTCTAATTGGGCAGCCCCAGGTTTGAGGTGAAGTCCTCAAGGTCTTGTGAGATGTCTTTTTACCTATTTGAGGAGAGAAACTTTAGGGCTTTGTGTCTTTCTAAGTAGACAAGAATGATTTGGTCACTGTGAACAGAAAACACATTCCTACACCCAGCTCCTTTCACCCAGCACTCTCCTGGGGAATCCTGGCCATGGTGTTTGGGGCTCCTCGTGGCTCTGGGATCCCACAGGGCTCCAGGTGGGATGGGAGGCACTCGGTGGGGGTCTCTGGGATGTGTGTAAGGACTAGGGGCTGGAAACATCCCAGCTCAGGGAGGAGCTGAAGCCAAAATCCCTCTTTGGTTTCAGTAGCTCAGGGTCTGAATAATCCCATGGGCAGCCCCGTCCTTCCCAGGGGCAGGAGAAGCTGTGGAGCATCTCCAGGTGTGGGGAATGCAGTTATCCACTCAGTGTGGGGGGGAAACCTCATCCAAACCCCTCAGGAGGTTTGCAAGACCCTAAGGGATGCTTTGGGGTTTGCTCCTGCTTGGAATGCCCCAAGGATGCAGGCAGGGCTGGGAGCAAGGCTGGTGCAAGGATGATGCCCTTGATGCCAGGTGGTGCTGGAAAATAACCTCCAACCTCACAAGCAGCCAAGGAATTTGCAGAACTGAGGCTTGGGAGGGGATGAGAGGACTTCTCCCAGAGCGTGTGGGTGCTGTGGATAGGTTTACTCCTCACCACCACCATTCCCGAGCCAGCAGCACCCCAAAATCACTGCAGCACCCCCGGGCTAAGAGCAGCCACCCCCGGGATTGTGCTGTGGTTTCATTAGCTTGTCAAGCTGTCCTCTGCGTGCCACTAATTACACATTAACGAGCTGGCTTAATTGGCTGCCTGTGAATGTGCCAAGACAATGCCTGGGTGCAGCCACAGCATCGCTGGGAGTGTGAGCAGCATCCCAGGATGGGGCCAGCTGCACCCTCCCTTTGGAAATCTGGGGGAATTTCCAAGGATGGCTGAATTTTGGGGGTTTTAAAGCTCAGTTTTAGGTCTCCTGGAAGATCCTCATGCTGATGTTTTTTGGGCCAACTGCTGATGGTCCCGGGGATCTCCCTCCCCTCTCTTCCTTCAGCATTTTGCTCTGAATTGGATTAAAAAATAAAGGTTTTGATAGAAAATGCTGCAGGAAGAGGGTTCAGCCCCCACTGCGCAGGGCCGGATGGGGTTAGAATGTCTGTGGCCACCTGCAAACTTGCAGGAAACATCATTTCCTCCTTCTGCAAAAGCTCGGCTGCCCCACAGGCACAGGAAGGTTTCGGGGGGCTCAGGAGGGGTCACGGTGATGGGGATGTCCTGGGGCTGCTGGTGCAGGGTGAGTGTCCCCTGCATGGGGCTGGTGGTTTGGTCCCCCAGGACAAAATTTGGGCTTGTGGGGCTGCAATCCAGCAGAGGTGACCTGGTTGGAAAACCCCGTGGCCTTTCTTGCCACACCCCACATTTGGGGTTTTGGCTTCCGGTGTTTCTCCAGCTGCTGGTGGAAACCCCGGGTGGGGGTGAGGGGGGAGCTCATGCTTTGGGATCATCAGGGAATTTGTGTGTCAGGTCTCTGCTCTGATCCCACATCCAGAGGGGTCTTTGGGGTGCTCCTGCCTCCCCAGCACTGTTGGTGGAACCAGGGTGTGGCTGGGGTGACATCCACAGGGTGCCAGCATGGCCTGGGTGTTCCCGGGGTGGGGGGACAAACCTTTTTGGGTGTCCCTGAGGGGCTCCTTCCCCACGAGGACCTCACGGCTGGCAGAAATGTGGCAGCTCCAGCTTTGTGGTGGGATGCAGAGTGGGGGGGTCTGATCCGAAGGTGTCCCCATGTCATCAGGGGTTTCTTTTGTCCCCGAGATTTGGGGGACAGGGAAGACCCTGCCAGCGTGGGGGAGACCCCTCAAACAGAGCCCACCATGTCCCGCTGAGCATCCCTCCCTCTCCCCCGGCCCCCCCAGGACGCGGCGGCGATGCTGTGACCTACATTCGCGACAAGGAGGTCCCCAGCCCGCCGCCACCGCCGCCGGGCCATGAAGCGACACAAGTGAGGGCCCGGCGCGCCCGCGGCCATGGCCAGCCCGGCACCATGGACACAAACAGAGCTGACGCGCTGGCAGGGCGAGGAGGAGGAGGAGGAGGAAGAAGACGACTTCGAAAGGCGGATGGACGAGGATGGGGTCATCGGCCTGGGGGAGGGTGCCAGCAGCCCACCGTGGGGTGAGTCCTGCCCAGAAAGGGTGGTCCCCGGTGTCCCAGGAGCTGCTGGAGCCGGGGGGCCGGGGACACACGGGTGCGGGTGGCGACAGCCCCGCGGTGCCGGTGTTTTGCAGGTGACAGTGAGGACCTGGAGGAGGGGTCCGCGGCAGAGGAGGGGCGATGGCACCCGCGGCAGGAGGAGGACGAGGAGCGGGGCAGCTCCGGGGGGGACGAGGGGCCCTGGGGGGCAGAGAGCGATGGGGACCCCTACCCCGAGCTGTCCTCCGGGGGCCGCTGGGGCTCGGGCTCCAGCGGCAGCCCCGAGGCGACGGGGGACGGCCGGGCTCTGTGCCAGCCCCGGGGCTGCAGCACGGACGGGGGGTGCACCTCGGGGCTGTCAGACACCAGCCCTGGCCCTGGCACCCCGTCCCGCCAGCACCGGGGCTGGGGCACGGCCGGGGCCACCACCGGGGGGCACAGGCAGGAGTGGAGCCCGAGGCGGAGCCGCCCCGTGCAGCTCTCCGCCCATGGCCCCGGCCCCCAGCGTGTCCCTGGCACAGCGCTGGCACCTGCTGGCTTGGCACCCTCCGGGCAGCCCCAGGGCGCCGGGAATCCCGCGGCACCCCAAGGGCACGGCAGATCGCGAGTGCCCAAGAAAGCAGCGCCTGCGGTGGTGCCCCCCAAGCCCGCCCGGCAGTCGCGGTCCCTGAGCCCCCGCAGGCGAACGGGTGCCAAGGGGGCGAAGGATCCCCCGGGAACGGGCACCGAGGGCACCCAGTACGGCCGAGGGCGCCTCAACCACCCCCTGCCCGACCTGTCCAAGGTGGAGGCGCGGGTGAAGTTCGACCAGAGCTACCGCCCGCCCCGGGGCCGGGTGCTGCCCGCCCGCCCCCGCGGCCCCATCGCCTTCAAATCCCCGGCCGAAATCGTGCGGGAGGTGCTGCTGAGCAGCGGGGAGGGGGCGTCCCCGCAGCCCCCCAGCACGGCCGGGCTGCCGCAGGAGTTGAGGTCCCCCAGACAAGCGACAGCGCTGGTGCAGCAGCTCCAGGTAACGCCCACCTCCCCCCGTTCAGCCACTGGGAGGGTCTGCAGGGTGGGGGGAGCAGGGACGTGGGGGTGTCACTGCCTCTGGGACCCCCATGGGGGTGTGGTGCTGGTCACGCCTTCCCGGTCCTGCATGGAGCTGGTGAGGAGGGAAGGAGCGGGGATGTGGGCAGTGCTCAGCCTGGGGACAGGGTGCTCGTGGTGTCCCCTCGGGATGGCGGTCACCCTCAGGATGTTTGTCCCCCTGGGAGGAGAGGGGGGCTCTCCCCACGCAGAGAAAGGGTGTCATATCTGCACAGAGGGGTCGGGTGTTTTAGAGAGGGCGTTCCTGCACCCCACCCACGGGACTCCCCCCCGTGCCGAGTGCTGTCCCCCACTGGTGTCCCCTCCCCGCAGGACGACTACCACAAGCTGCTGACCAAGTACGCCGAGGCTGAGAACACCATCGACCAGCTGCGCCTGGGTGCCAGGGTGGGTGGGGGCTCAGGATGCCTCGGGGGGTTCCCCTCTCTGCTCCCCCTCGCTGAGGTTATGTGCTGTGCCTTCCTCCCCAGCCCCCCTCCTCTTCCTCCTCCCGGGGAGCTGCGGTTGAGCGGTCCCAGCCCAGGGAGGGGGGTGAGGCTGCCGCAGAGCCCCCAGCAGCCCGGGGAGCATCGTGCACCCCTCGCCTGGCAGCGTCCCCTCTGTGCCGGGGCGGTGGCTGAGCCGGGTTGTCCCCGGAATGGCGGGGCACATCTCTGAGATGGCAGGAAGCGCGTCCCCGTGTCACCTCTGCCACCGCGTGGGTGGGGAAACTGAGGCAGGGCTGTGCCAACCGCCCCCCGCACGCGTGTCCCCACCTTCACCGCACCCACTGCTGTGCCCGTGAGGTGCTTCGGGGTGCCCCGGGGCACGGTGGGTGGGTCGGGGTGCAGGCTGGCTGCCCAAACCCGCTCTCCCTGCCCAGGTGAGCCTGTTCTCCGACCCGCCACAGCCCAGCCGCAGCCTCGCCATGGGCACCGTGGCCACCGGGAGCCGAGTGATGACCCTGAGCATCCCGCAGGGGCGGACAGCGGCTCTGGGCACGGCCACAGCCCCGGCCTTGCCACGTGCCTCGCCACGTGCAGGTGTGTTGATCCGTGTCCCACAGCCCCACACCTCGCAGCTGTGTTGATCCCTGTCCCACAGCCCCACCCCTCGCAGGTGTGTTGATCCCCATCCCACAGCCCCACACCTCGCAGGTGTGTTGATCCACATCCCACAGCCCCACACCTCGCAGGTGTGTTGATCCCTGTCCCACAGCCCCACACCTCGCAGGTGTCCCCATGTCCCCTGCCCTCACTGTCCTCCCGCTCCGGATCTGTGGGGATTGTCCCCCACAGCCCCCTCCCCACGCTGGTGTCACCGCTGCTGCGGTGTCACTTGTCCTCGTGTTTTCTCGCAGCTGGAGGCCCGGGACCGCCAGAGCGGGGGGGTTCACCCCAACCTCGGTCCCCTCCTCCGCCCGGGGGGGGCTGCCCCACCTGCCCCGGGCCGTGCTGCTGCCCCGGCCCCCGGCTCACCCGGGCCCTGGCGGGGCAGAGCCGCAGGCTGCAGGCGCAGGTAAGGACCGGGGGGCTGCTGGGGGGCTGGGGCGTGGAGAGATGCAGGAACGGGGGGCTGTGAGGAGGGGGGATTCGGGGGGGGCTGCATGGAGAAGGGCTTTCGGGGAGAGTGATAGTGGGGGCTGCAGGGAGGGATTTGGGGGGAGTTCTGCGCGGGGGCTATAGGGGTAGGCTGGGGGGCAGCTGCGGAGGGGGTTGGGGGAGGTGCTATGGAGGGGGAGTGTTGTGGGGTGCTGGGAAGGAAGGAAGGCTGGGGAGGGGGCTGCAGTGGGGGATCGCGCTGGAGCAGCCCTGGGGGTGTTTCATATGGGGGGTCTAGGGAGTGCGGGGGGGTGCAGCAGAGCCGGGCTCAGCCCGTACAACCCCGGCCAGGTGGAAGCCTTCGAAAGCTGGGTGCGTGCAGGGACCCCCACACCCTCGGAACAGCTCCAGGTGCGTCAGTCCCTTCCCAGACCCCAGCCCGGGGGGCGGCAGGACCACGGGGGGTGCCCGGGGCCCAGCGGACAGGCCTGGACCCCGCTCTTGTGCCGCAGAGATTGAGGATGCTGAGGGACGCGCAGGATGCGCTGGAGCGGGAATACCTGCGGGCCCGGCAGCAGCTCCCGGAGGCTGCGGGGGGGTTTGATCCTGACCGGTGCGTGCTCGATGCCCCTGCCACCCTTTCCCCCAGAGGCCCCGAAGAGTCCCCGGGGGTCGCTGTCCCTCCTGTACTGATGGCTGGTGTGTTGCAGGGCAGTGGAAGGAGAGATTTACCGCCTGGGGCTGCGCCTGGAGGGGCTGAAGGAGCGGCTGGAGCCGGGGGGCAGGCGGCAGTCCCTCCTTCAGCCCCCCTCGCAGCCCCGCTGCCCCCCAGCCCCGTCCCCACCGCCAGCCGCTCACTCCCCACACCCCGAGGTGAGCTGGGGGTGCAAAGGTTCCCCACCCCACTGCATTTATGGGGATTATCCCTCTCACCCCCTTGTGCTGTGCTCACAGAGCCCTGTGCTGGTGGAGGATCCTCGGGGGACAGCCGGGGACAGCGAGGGGGTGGCAGGTGGGCTGCCCTGGCCCCTCTGGCACAAGCAGCGCCAAGTGGAGGAGGACTTCGGGGACCTGCTGGAGCAGTGAGTGCCCTCACAGCGGGGCAGGGGGGACACGGGCACGGAGCATGTCCCCAAAGCCACCCGCTCCTGCCCGCGGGTCCCCCCAGGTACAAGCACTTCAAGTCCTTGCCGGAGTCGCTGAGCCTGGAGCGGCTGAGCCTGGCGGGGAGCGGGTCCCAGGAGGAGGTGGATGCACCCACGGCAGGGGACGGTGGCCCCAGCAAGGTCCCCTGCAGGACACGGTCACTCGAGGAGGCGCCCAGCCTCGAGCCCTTGCCCTTGTAAGTGCTGTGGAGGTCGGGTCCCCAGGGGGGTTGAGCAGGTTTGACATCAGGTCTCCAGTTTTACCTCGGGGCTAACGGCCTCCATGGCAGAGCTGGACCAGGACATTTCCCCATCTGGGGTTGCTCTGCCCCATCATTCCCGCTCCATCCCCTCCCCACAGGCACCTCCCACAGAGAAGAGCTGCGACGCTTCCCCCCAGAGGACTCCCAAACCTGGAGGAGATCCAGGGCCACCCCTCTCCTGCCACCCCTGAGGAGCCACCAGCCTCTGCCAAGCCCGCCCTGGGGGTCCCTGGGCCACCACGGGTGCCCCTGTCCCTCGGTGGGACAGGCAGCAGTGCCACCCAGCACGGGCCCCGCAAGGTGAGTCCCTGGGACTGTGGGTCCCCCCCAAGAGTCCCCCCAGAGCCTCCCGGGCTGCTGGGTACCGACCCTGCTGTCCCCGTGCCTCTGCAGGAGCAGCGCATCGTGTCCCCAGAGACCGACAGCGGCTTCGTGGGCTCGGAGGCCAGCAGGGTGTCACCCCCCGTGCACACCCCCGAGCACCATCCCCCCGGCCCAGGGTGCGGCCCTGCCCGCGGGATTTGGGGCACTGAAGAGGAGCAGGGATGGCGGGAGAGGCACTGAGGGTGTGGGGAGCGGGGTTGGAGGTGTCAGAGTGCCCGTGGCCTGGGGGAGCCTGGGGGGCTGCCCCCATGACCCCTCCCTTCCCCAGGGCTCCGGGCTCGCTGGGACCTTCCGTCCCCATCCTCCGTACCCCACGGAAGAGACAGACGACCCCGCTTCCCTCCGAGACAGCACTGATGGGCATCTACCCCCCGGGGGGCACAGGGGGGGCCCGGCTGCCCCCCAGCAGCCCCTCTCAGAGCAGCTCCCCCCCTCGCTGGGCCGAGAGTGCGGGCAGCGACGGGGGACCGGACCCCGATGCTGATGGCAGTGAGTACACAGGACTGTGAGGGAGAGAGATCTGGGGGCCCTGGCTCTGTGGCTCTGGTTTCTGGGGTTCCCAGACCTCCTTGTGGTGCTGGTGTCACCCTCCCTGGAGGGAGGTGTGTCCCAGTCTGTGATCCCAGCTCACTGTGCTCCCCTTCCTCCCCAGCTCACACGGACTCGGAGGTGGGGGACAGGAGCTGTGCCAGCGCCGGTGGCCACCCCCCAGCCATGGCCAGGAGCCCAACCAGCCCCCTGCCCTCCCCCGAAACGCCATCCCCCACGCTCCTGTCCCCCGACCTGCCGTCCCTCGAGCCGGCTCACTGTGACCTGCTGGGCTCCCGTCTGGAGCGCGAGTGAGTGGCTGTGTCCCACTGCCCCAAACCAGGCCAGACCCCCCTGGGTGACACAGGGACCCCCCAAAGGCACCCACAGGGCACTGAACGCCAGCCCAGGCTTGGTTTTGGGGAGGGTCCCAGCTGCTGGGTGCCGGTGGTGGGGATGGGGGGTCTGGGAGGGGGGTGCTGATGCTCCCCCAGGGCCACCAGCGCTGCTGGGGTCGCTGCTGGCTGCAGCCCCCTCACCAGGACGTGTGTCCCGGGGCAGCCAGGCCATCCGGGCGCTGCAGGACGAGGTGTGGCGGCTGCGGCGGAGCCTGGAGGAGAGCCTGCTCCGCTCCCGCAGCCATCCCGAGGGAAAAGCCGCTCCTCGTGTCACCCCGGCCAGGAGACAGCCGGTGGCCAGCGAAACATCGGCCCCCCAGGACCCAGCACCCTCGGGGTAGGTGGCAGGGGGGACCTGGGGCGTGTGGGGGTCAGCCTCAGCCTGCGGAGGGGGTGACAGCATTTCTGTCCCCTGTGCAGGGAGCCGAGCCCGCCGGTGCGGGGCAGGGTGGCCCCCGGGGTCACACCCACGCGGAGGGCGAGGTCGGCATCGCTGCCACGGGACAAGCCGCAGCTGGACCTCGGTAAGTGTCCCCACCGGGGTGGGGTCAGAGGGGACACGCTCCCCCGCTGCGTGCCACTTGCCCTCCCCAAACACGCGGCAGGATTCTGGGGCTGCAGGACGTGGGGACCAGGCGCTGGTGGTCGCACGGCCCCCGCAGTGCTCAGCCCAGGGCGGGTCCCGCAGGTCTGCAGCGCGGTCCCAGCGGATGCCACCCCCCTTCCCTGTCCTCCGCCGAGTCAGAGCCCTCGCCCGCCGGGCCCCGGGCACCCCCCGCCCTGCGGAAGCACCTTGGGAAGCCCCCGGGGGTGACATTCCGGGGACAGTATGCAGGTGGGTGCTGGTGGCGGTCGGTGGTGGGGCTGGAGGTGGCCGCCCCCAGCCTGGGGACCCTGGCCTTGCTGACGCCGGGGTTTGGCAGGGACACGGTACCAGGCGGGGACACCACGTGCCACCCCGGCACCCCGAGAAGAGCCGGGCACCTCGGGGTGTCCCCGATGTCACAGGGGCAGGACGGCATCAGGTGAGTGGCCCACAGTCCCTTCCAGCCTTCCCTACCACCTCTAATAGCTGCTAATGACCTTAATTAATTAACTGGAGAGGTTTAGGAAGAGAACAGACAAACCCATTCCTCATGGCCTGAGGCTCTCCCCACTGTCCCTTGGCCAGACCCCACTGCCCCCCGGGGGGACCAGCCTGGGCAGCTCTGGGGAAGCCCTGACCTCGTGGGGGCCAAGCACGGGTCAAGCCCACCTTGGCATCTGCGTTTGTCTGTGCCTGTGTGGGCAGAAAAACATGGGATTCCCTGGGATTGCCGGGGGGACCAGCCTGGGCAGCTCTGGGGAAGCCCTGACCTCGTGGGGGCCAAGCACGGGTCAAGCCCACCTTGGCATCTGCGTTTGTCTGTGCCTGTGTGGGCAAAACATGGAATTCCCTGGGATTTCTGCGATTCCCTGGGATTGCTGTGATTCCCTGGGCTTCCAGGTGTCACCGGGAGGAGTGTCACCTGTCCCCAGGCCTGTCCCAGGTGCCAATGCAGAGCCCACCTTTGCAGACCCCCCTTTCCCTGCATAGAACATCCCCCTCCCTTCTCATCAGCCCCCCCAAACCACTCAGCTCTCCCCAACCTTCCCTGGCTGGCGGTGCATGGGGCATTGCTGATGTCCTCTCTCCACAGCTACGTTTGCAGGAGGTGACACCCCCCGGCAGCCCCAGCACAGCACCCCCAGGAGAACGTCCTGCCCCACCTGCCGGGCACCCACGGGCAGCAGGGACACAGCCACACACGGTGGGTGACAAGGGTGACACGTGCCTGGCACAGCTGCTCCCTGCATGGGGGCTGGCTGGTGGGACAAGGAACAACCTTAGCCTCCTGTTGATGCCGGGGGACTGTGCCCACCCAGTGTGGCACAGGGGGTGATGGCACTGGGGCTGCCACTCGATGTGCACCCCATGGGGACATTGAACCCCCATGGGGACATCTAACCACCTTCCTCCCCACAGCAGAGCGTGGCCCTGGTGGCTCCTGTCCCCCAGGCCCCCACGCTGGAGCCGAGAAGCCGGAGCAACCCGGAATTTGGTACTTGGCAGCCAGCCCTGCTGCCACCGTCTGCCTGGCACCCGTCCCCCTCGTGCCTTACGTGCCCTCCATGCTGTAAGGATGCCCTGGGGCTGGCAGGGGGCTCAGGGGGTCAGCACTCCCCAGGGGTGGAGGGGGACACAAGAGGAGCTGTCCCCACCCCAGGGATGCACTGTGGTGTGACACTGCCACCAGCTCCTCTGGGGACAAGCTGTGTTAAGGGGGTGGTGCTGTGGGGTGGGCATCCATGGGAAAGGGATGGAAATAAGGTGCAGTGGTGGCACAGACCCCACCACTGAGCCCGTGTCCCTTCTTCTTCCCAGCTACTGCTCCCCAGCAGTTCCTACCTCAGCCCCAGCCCTGGCCGGGGTCCCCCTCGGTGTCCCTGTGGGTCCCCAGCGGGCAGAGCGTCCCCCCCGGCCCCGGGGCCACCACCGCTGCCTGAGCCTGGACCTGGAGGAGCTGGAGGAGCTGAACTGGTCCCTGGGCCGGGCTGTGGAGGCCGCCCAGAGCGTCAGGCTGACCACCAGCCGCATGAGCCGGGCGCTGGCCGCGGAGCTGGGCCGGCCGCGGGGCCTGCGCGGCTCCTGCCTCTTCTGAGGGCCCTGCAGGCCCCGTGTGCCAGGAGCGGGACGGACCCTCAGTGTCCCTCACTGTGTGCTCCATGACAAACCTATGGCCAGCAGGGAAAGAGGCACCTCCACACCCTCTGTGCCACCAGGAGAGGGGACACGCGGAGCTGGGCCGGCCGCGGGGCCTGCGCGGCTCCTGCCTCTTCTGAGGGCCCCGCCGGCCCCTGCAGGCCCCGTGTGCCAGGAGCGGGGACAGACCCTCAGTGTCCCTCACTGTGTGCTCCATGACAAACCTATGGCCAGCAGGGACAGAGGTACCTACAGACCTTCTGTGCCACTAGGAGAGGGGACGGACCCTCAGTATCCCTGCACTGCATGCTCCATGACAAACCTGGGGCACCAGGGCCCCACTGGCCCCTCCAGACCCTCCATGCCCCCAGGAGAGGGGACGGACCCTCAGTATCCCTGCACTGCATGCTCCATGACAAACCTGGGGCAGCAGGGCCCCGCTGGCCCCTCCAGACCCTCCATGCCCCCAGGAGAGGGGACGGACCCTCAGTATCCCTGCACTGCATGCTCCATGACAAACCTGGGGCAGCAGGGCCAGAGGTACCTAGAGACCCTCTGTGCCACCAGGAGAGGGGATGACCCTCAGTGTCCTTCACTGTGTGCTCCATGACAAACCTGGGGCAGCAGGGCCAGAGGTACCTAGAGACCCTCTGTGCTGCCAGGAGAGGGGATGGACCCTCAGTGTCCCTGCACTGCACCCTCCCTGCCACACCTGGGGCCAGCAGGGCCCTGCCGGCCCCTCCAGACCCTCTGTGCCCCCAGGAGAGGGGATGGACCCTCAGTGTCCCTCACTGTGTGCTCCATGACAAACCTGGAGTCAGCAGGGCTGGAGGTGCCTCCAGGGGCTCCTGCCCTGGCTCCCACCCCCTCCCATTCTCCCTGCAGCCCCTGCATGGCCTGTCCCTCTGTCTGTCCATCTCCAGGACCCCCCAGGCTGCAGGAGGGGCGAAGGCTGGGCAGCAGTCCCCAGCATTCTGCAGCACCCTCCCTGGGAGCAGCGGGGTGGCCCCGCGTCCCCCCAGGCCGGTGGCCACCCCACCCCGAGCACTTCTGGGGGTGCTCTGACCTCGTGTGGGTCGAGCCCCCTTGGCAGCTGTGTTTACCTCTGTGCCTGTGTGGGCAGAATTCCCTGGGATTCCCAGGATCCCCTATCCCACCCCTTTCCCAGCTTCCAGGCCTCCTCAGGGGGCTGTGCCCTGTGCCCTCTGCCCTTGGACTTGAACCCAGCGGGATCCTCCCTGGGGAAATTTATTTTTTTGGTGTTTTTTTATGTGAATTTTTTAGCTAGTAAGCAGCTAAATCACTCTTTGGAGTGATGATTGATGATCTGTGATATATGTGTATCTATAAATGGATATATCTAGATATAGGCATATCTATATTTAGTTATATGACTATATCTAGAGAGACAGATATAAATAGATCTGTGTATGTCCAGATCTCTATCTGATGCTATAGATATATCTTTCTATAGATGCATATATATAAATATTCTGGTTACATTCCAACCCTTAGGGCATTTGTGGGTTTTTTTCTGGTCATCCCTGGATGTGGCCACCCACAGCATCATCCAGGCAGAAAATAAAATGAAGGATTTGAGGTTTTTCCCCTGGGATCCTCAGGGAAGCTGGGTTGGTGGACGAAAAGTTACCTGCTGAGACCAAAGCAGGTGTGAGTCTGTGGAGCCCCTGCTCCTCCCAGCTGGGTTTCTAAGGAGTTAATTCCTATTTTTTAGGGAAAAGGATGTGGTTGTGGCAGCTTTTCCAGGGATAGGTCCAGCCAAACCCCTGTTCCACCCCCAGCACCTCAACCTGTGTTTATCTGTAGGACTTACCTAAGTGCCAGTGTCAAATGTATTTATTTTTCTTTTATTTGTTGTACAAATACCCACGTTTGGAGGGGGGATCAGTGAGGGACTCAGGTCTTGGAGCCTTCCAAGCTCCCCCTGAGCCTGATCCTGACATGAGCCCAGAGGGGTTTGGAATGGGGCTGTCTCCTCCTCCTTTTTTTGGGGTGATAGGGCTGGGTTTGGGGGATTTTAAAGAGGTTGGGGGGATTTTAAAGAGGTTTGGGGGATTTTAAAGAGGTTTTATGTGTCTCTGGTTGCCTCTGCTCTTGCCCGTGCCCCAAGCTGGAAGCTGTGACTCCCCCAGCCCAGGCAGGGTGCGATGGGAGCATGTGGAAAGTGTGGGTAATTATCCCAAATGCAGTAGCCAGGACCAAATGTTGGGGTTTTTTTCCTTATCCCCTATTTTTTAACGCCCAGCAGAGCCACTGGGTTGGTATTTTGTACAAAGAAATCACCTATTTTTGAAGGAAATAAATGCAGTTGGATGACTCGTGTGCTGATTTTCCTTCCCAAAGCCACTCCTGAGGGGGGTTTGGCATCACCACACCAGCAGCCCTCCCTTGGGGTTGGAGGGAATATTTTCCCATGCCTTTTCCCTGTTTTCCTGGCCCTGAGGGAGCAGCAGAGCACAGCCCCAGTTGCACTAGGGATGGAGATCGCTTTTATTTAGTCACTCGAGTGCTTTAGTACAGAAGAACAGATATACAGAGATGATACATGTTTGTGCTTCAACACTTTCAAACATTTAGATTCCAGTAATTTCAAGGTAAACAAGTTCCAAGACAGACTAGATTATTTTTTTTTTACGTTTTCCTTTTTGATAAATTATTTTTTATATAAATAACTGTAACAGAAAAAATAATAATAATAATAATAATGTCCAACATACAGGATCCTGAAGCATTTGCATTGCTAAACCAAAGAGGAACAGAAACGGGCTGGGAGACCAAAGGGGAACCAACAAATATCAGTGCAATGATACAGCCTTTGCCCTAAAAATATATATTTAACTTTATGGGCAAGGAGCAGACGGGAAGGGAAGGGAAAGGAGGGGGCTAACCACCAACGAGGCAAGAAAGAGCAATTTTAGGGTAGGAAAAGGGGGGTCACAGCCTTCAGGGGGAACAGAACAAAACCATAGACCCCAAAATATTGCAGTGCATCTAACGGCAAGGGACAGGGGGCAATCCAGGGGCGTCAAATAAAAACCCAACTAAAATCAGAGTTTTGGGGAAATCACTATACACCAAGCTCGTAAGAACGTCACAAGACACAGTCATTAATATACACAGAGTCCAGAGGGTTTTGGGGGGGCCTGGAGGGTTTGGGGGGCCCCAGAGGGTTTTTGAGGAGGGCCCAGAGGGTTTTTGGGGAGGGCCCCAGAGGGTTTTGGGGGGTCTCAAGGTGACGGCACGCTCAGAAACGCTTCACCACGGGACGACACGAGCAGAGCTGGGCACGGGCACCGAGCTCCCATGGGGATGGATGGAGAGGTATCCATGGAGAGATAGCACAGATATATATATATATAAAATAGCTTTTTATTTTATATATATATATTTTGTTTTTTAGGGAATTCCCAGAGGGAGAGGAGGGGCTGCAGCAGGGCTGTGCAAGCAGATGAGCCGCAGCTCCCAGTTTTGACCGGTTTGGTCCCTTTTCACATGGGAATTACCACGGTGTGAAGCGTCCTGGCTGCACTCCCACACCACCCCCATCCCAAAGTCCCACCCAGATGGTGGCGTGCACATCTGGCAGGAGCACCCACTGCCCCAAAAGCCATGGGACAGATGGTGGTGCCAGCCTGGTGCCCGCCTGAGCAGTGGCTGGAGCGGTGTGGGGTGTCTGTCCATCTGTCCTCCCGTCCACACAAGACCCCAATGAGGAGCATTCCCCCCAAAAAATGTGGTTCTCTGTCATTTTCCCCACCATATTCACTAGCAATGGGCAGATGGTTACTCAGCAATGAGCTCCTGGGCGCTTCCCACAGCTGCAGCTACAAATATATAGATTTTTTTTTTTCCTTTTTCTCTTAAACACAATGCATCCATTTTCTTAATATATATATATATATATTATTTTTTTTTTTGGCTGTTATCCCCTCCCTGTGGATAAAATGAGATGGGGGAGGCGCTGGGAGGGGAGAGGGAGGATCAACACAAGAACAAGAGAGAAGCTGGGCCCACAGGGTGCAGGGTGGCACCCGGGGCCGGGCGCCCGGCGGGGACGTGGGTCGGCATCGAGTGGTGACAGCGTTTCCTTTTAACTGCTGCTCTCTTCCTCTGTTTTATTGAGTTTCTTCAGCGTGTCCAGCAGTTTCTGTGGGGTGAGGATGTGCGTGGACCCTGTGGGAGCAGAGGAGGGGTGCAAGGGGATGGATCAGTGATGGCTTTGGGATCCCCGCCGTGTCCCGGCCCGGCCCCGCTGTCCCGGGTCCCCCTTACCTGGCGGCGCCGGCCCCGCGCCGCTGGAAATGCTTGCGAGGAAATGCAGTCTATGGGGACGGGTGGGGGGGGTCTGTGGGGGCACGGACAACGGGAAAAGGACCGAGAGGAGGAATGGAGGCGAGGGATGGAGCTGGCGGGATGAGGCAGGGGCCCGGAGGTGCCGGTGCAGGGGGTTGTGGCACTGGGGTCACTGCAGGATGCAGGAGGCACTGCTGGGTGCAGGGATGGGGGATGCAGGGAACAGCCGGCGTGGAGGGACCTTCCCCAGGTCCCCAACCTGCACAGAGCATCCTGGGGACAGAGGTGGCCGGGAGGGGTGGGATGGGACAAGGAAAACAAAAGGCTCTCGCTTTTGGCTGCCCCTCACTTGGGGGTCCCCCAGCACGGTGCCAGTGGGGGTCCCACCATGCTGCCCACACCAGCTCAGCCCCACAGTCACCCTGGCACTGCAGGCACCAGCACACAGGGCATGCTGGCGTGGCACTCACTGGTGAAACCAGCAGGAGCTGAACCCCAAGGCAGGGTTTGGGGGTCTGCAATGCCACAAGGTTCCTGCCTATCCAGGAGCAAACCTGAGCTGAGTGTGACTCCAGCCGCAGGGCACCCCAGAGCTGGGGGGTCCCAGCAGTGCCCAGCCCATGGGGATGGACCAGGATGAGTGCTGGGGTCTCCACTGCTGCCCCTCTCCCTCAGCCCCACTCCAGCCACTCCCAGGGCAGAATTTGGGAGCTCTGTCCCCCTGCCCGGGCCTGGGATGCCTCTGTGGGGCAGACCCTGACCCCTCCATGGGGCAGGCAGGACCCTGACCCCTCTGGCCCTGGCGAGGGGGAGCTCATGGCATGAAGGAGCTGGCCAGGGGACATGGCTCAGGGGTGATGGAGCGACGCCGGATGCTTTTCCACCTGCTCGGAGGAACCGCAAGCATTTTCTAATCGGAGAACCCAACAAACCCCAAAACAACAATTAAAAAAAGGAGGTACAGAAGAATCAAAGAAAACCCTTCAGGGAGGAAGAGTTTCTTTTTCATTAGTAAGCTGCCTTTACTTGGTTTCTTTGGCTCACTCCATTGCTGGAGCCTGATCCTCAAATGATACCCTAGTGGAGTCCCTGAAGTCGGGGTGCCTCAGGTCCATGAGAAATTTGGTGGGAGTGAGAATGTGAGTAGAACCTGCAGGAGAACAGAGCGGGGCTGACGGCTGCGCCGAGGCTCCCCCACCGCCACCAGCAGCTGCCTCTGGGGGGAGGAAGAGGAAGGAGGCAGGTGGAGCTTCGGAGGCACATGCAGGGGATGGACCCTGGAGGGATGAGATGGTGACAGCAGGATGGAGCTGGGATGGGTGTCCGGTGACAGGGACACAGCTGAGCCAGCAGGAGGTGATGGAGACTGGGATGCTGCTCCCAAGGAGCAGAAGAGATGCTGGGGATGGCTCCACCAGGCATCAGATCAGATGGTGAAGGACACCTGCCTGTGTCCTTCAAGGTGTGTATCCAAGCTGTGCTTCCCAGAGGAATCTTAGAGACCTAACAGCTCCTTGCTGGTAGAGCATCCACTGTGTCCTCTGTGCCTGACCCACAGCTCCCCTGGGAGCAGAGGTGGGAGCTGGCCCTGACCACGTCCTGGTGCATGACCCTGAAAAACCTGGCTCCTCTTTGCACCCCTCTTTATTTTGCACTTTTCTTCCTGTAATGACCCCAAAACCGAGGAGCAATCCGAGCTGCCAAACCTCCTCCCCTCTCACCCAGACAACACCAGCCAGGAGACGTGAAAAAATGGAAGCAAAAACGAGGATGTTTGGAGTGACACAACCCAGATGGGGAAGGAGGGGACACACAGGGGCGACAAGAGAAAACCTTTCCGCAGAGTTCCAGCTCCCGCAGGCGTCTGGAGCCGGGAACTTGCGGGATGGAGCATGGGATGAGCAGCCAGCGGGAGGGGCCACCCCGGGGCCAGCACTCACCTATTAGCACCTCCCACTTGCCGCTGGCTTGTGTCACCTCGTAGGCGCAGCGCATCTCGTTCATGCTCACCCCGCCCAGGATGAAGATGATGAGGCGGGGCCCGCTCCGGTACTCGCCGGGGGCCTTGTTCTTGTGCCAGTGGCCGTAGCGGGCACTGAGGAGAGGAAGAGGAGGGTGAAGGACGGGCACCACATCTCAGTTTAATCACACAGACATTGCTGTTACAGCAGGGCAAGTCCAGTGTTCCAGCCACGAGTGCTGCTTGCTGTTATAGGGAGGGAAACTGAGGCACGGAATGCTTGGAGGGAACTGAGGCACCAGGTGTCCAAAGGGAAAATGAGGAATGGGATTCCTAAAGGGAAACTGAGGCATGGGGTTCCTACAAAGGAACAAAAGCACGGGATGTCTGGAGGGAAACTGAGGCACAGGATGCCATGGGAGAAACGGAGGCATGGGCTGTATGAAGGGAAGGTGAGGCAAAGGGAAACTGAGGCATGGGATTCCTAAAGGGAAACGGAGGCAGAGGATGTCTGGAGGGAAACTGAGGAATGGGATACCCCACAGGAAACTGAGGAATGGGATGCCTGAAAGGAAATGAAGGCACAGGGCTGCTAAGGGAAAATGGAGACACAGGATATCTGCAGGGAAACTGGAGCACAGGATGCCTAAAGAAAAATGGAGATACAGGGTGCCTGAAGAGAGACTGAGGCACAAGGTGCCTGAAGGAAACTGAGACAAGGGATTCCTCAAGGGATACAGAGGCACAGGCTGTCTGGAGGGAAACTGAGACCTGGGGTGCCTCAAAGGAATGCAGACGTGAAGTGCTTGAGGGGAAACTGAGGCACAATGCCCTCCGAGCAGCTCCCAGAGCTGCTGCTGGCTGCAGCCCCTGGGGCTGTGTGGGATGGATGCTGACAGTGACCAGGGGGGCATGGGCAGTGAGCAGGAGGGCACGGGCAGGGCAGGAGGGCACCCACCTGACGGCAGTGGTGCTGAAGGAGGCGGAGGAGCGGGTGGAGATGTACGGGTAGTGCTTGGTGTCCAGCTTGTCATCGATGGCATCCTGAGGGCAGACAGCCACAGGCCCAGGGTCAGTGAGGAGCCAGGCACAGCCCCAGGCCCTACAGCCCCTCTGGAGGCTGTGCCCAGGATTCCCCCCCGAGAAGCTCAGGAGCAGGTGCTGAGCTGGAGGTTCCAGCATGAGGCACCCCCTGCCAGGGCCAGTGTCACCCAGGGTCAGTGCCACTGGGACACCTTGCTGAGGTGCTGCTGGCCTGGGCAGGCCCCTCTGTCCTGGGGGTGAGGCTGAGGGGTGTCCTGGGTGTGAAGCCACCCTGTGGAGAGGTTGTGACAAAGGAAAACCTGAGCTCTGTGCTTTTGGGACTGAGGGAGCTGTGGCTCTGCTGGTCTGAGCCAGGGCTATCCCAGTGCAGAGCTCCTGAGGACACAGACACAGCCATGCCTGTCCCCTGGCTCTGTTGGGACATGGGCAAGGCTTTGACAAGGCCACCCAACCTTGGTGGCCATGGTGGCACACACACAACCAGCCAAGTTGTTACCACATCCAGGGATGCTGGGCAAGCCTGGTTTGGGGCATGAAGACTGAGGGGAGACCTCAGGGCAGCCTGAAACTTCCTCAGGAGGGAAAGAGAAGGAACAGCTCCCATCTCTGCTCTGGAACAGGGACAGGAGCCAGGGAACAGCTGGAGCTGGGCCAGGGCAGCTCAGGCTGGAGCTCAGGGCAAGGCTCTTCCCCCAGAGGGTGCTGGCACTGCCCAGGCTCCCCAGGGAATGGGCACGGCCCCGAGGCTGCCAGAGCTCCAGGAGCCTTTGGCCAGCGCTGCCAGGGATGCCCAGGGTGGGGTTGTTGGGGGGTCTGGACAGGGGCTGGGCTGGGTGATCCTTTCAGTCCCTTCCAGCTCAGGATATTCTGTGGTTCTCGGATTCTCTCAGTTCATGCAGCACCAGTTGAGTTTTCCATCCCTTTTCAGCAAGTGGAGATCCTGTCCCCCACCAGGCAGTGATCTAATCCCAGGCTGTGCTCCTCCCTGGCAGAACTGGAGCCACAGGGTGGGATTGTCGGGGGTCTGTGCAGGGCCAGGGGCTGGATTTGATGTTC